ATAATTACCAGCACATTACCGAGATGTTAATTATTTCAGATTAGTCGCAATTTTTCAATATAAACTGCTTAGAAGAAATACTTGACCATTTCTGTCTTAAGTTAGAAATACAACAATCTCGTTAGAGACTACAAAAGAGCAGATGAACTGTCACACCGAGACTCCTCAACTAATTAGATTTATTTCACAAAGAACATGTAAAAATTATACATTACTAAGGTAAGCAAAATGCAACCCAAATAATGGATCACTAGACATCGTGAAAATTTTAGAGACTTATATGTTTACTTATGTAGAGTATGATCTTCTCGTACAAACGTGAAAAAAGCATCATGTAACACCGAGCGAAAAGATAAACGAGCTACAAAAGTCTGTTATCTATCGAAAATGTTGTGCTAACGATCACTGACATTTCTAGCACAGACGAACAATCCCCATCGAATATTTTTAAAGCAAGAAATCTATCAAAAACTATTTCCTAATTCCTCCGGCATACATAGCGTGATTTCAAATAAGTCAAAATAACTAATGATTTTTCTCTTTTCTATTCTATTATATCATGTAATTACCAATTCGAAATTGTTCCGGCTTCCTCAGCTTCTCAAGATCTCATTTCTTATACCGTTTCACACAAAAAAAAAAAAAAAAAAAAAAAAGGACAATTTACGCATGGACAACGCTGGGCTTATTTAATGTTCAATTGCTTTCGCCAAATCCTGGGAAAATTCTTGTTTGTCAGTGTCTGAAATAGTTGTAGCGCCTTGAAAGCTACAAAGCAGCCGTATACCTATAATCTGCTTATCGATGGTCTTCTTGGAGCGTCAACGCTAACGCTACGTAATGTATAGGCCTTTTTAAAACACGCAAGCAATAGAAATTAGACAGATCTAAAATATTCTGAATATGTAGACAGATTTTAAGGAAATAATTCGTACATGTCAACAATCGTCTCAAAGTTCCGGAGCTTCCTTGAACAAAGACGGGTAAAAATACTATTTGGTTCTTTCCGTGAACACTTACTAGAACTTGGAACACATATTGAATATGACAGTTCAACGACTAGGAACAGATTTCAGTTCACATGTAGTGTCCAAATTTTCTCAAGGGAAGAGTCTATGTCGGAAAAAGCATTATAAATTTAAATGAGGCCACAAGCGGGTGGTAAATAACACCAACGTCCAGCTCATGCTCTAGATCACGTTAAATCAACACTGCAACGAATAGGAGTTGAAAAGGCAGTCAAACAGTGATATACAGTGGTCTTATCTTGTCATTCTAAATCTACAAACTCTATTGGGCTCTTTGGGAAAATTCACACGATGTTACACTAACGATGACCTAGAACTGTACTAAAAACGAGTGAACATCTTGTAGACACAACAGAATACTAAAACTGAATGGGCTATGCGAAGATCAGATAAGTGTATCTAAACAAAGGGTCACATTCGAATTTTGTGCACGTCTGCAGAAACAACAGGGCAAGCTAATTACTAGCACAGGGTTGCGAAGGAAAACTACATAGCAGACGATCCTATCAACCTCCTCTATTTTGGTACACAAGGGTACTGCATCGAATTTGGAGTGAGGCCGATGAACAAAATATGAACTTATTGTGATATTACATGGAGCGTACCATAGCACAGGATATATAATACTACACCAAGGAAAAAAGGCTACGATGTAAATAGCAGCGGCTAAACTCATATCCATACGGAGACAAGGTGATTCGGTCAACGACTAAGCGTCAGCAAATAATTTAGTAGTTGATTTTCGGAATAATCATTTAAGACTCATATAATCAACGCAGCATCACATATGGGATCACTTGTCTACGACAGAAACGATTCCTCGGAGCTTTGCTAGAACGGTTAGCGCACCAGTTTGCTTAACGTAATTACACAAGATCAGAGTCATAACGTATAATACGATCAGTAACTTCACCTATGTATGTATGTGTATATATATATAATTTCCATTCGTATTTTTGAATTTGACTTGCAAGGATGCGTTCTACATATTGGTATCTTTCTAATGTTTAGGTCCCTGCATTTTCATTACGTATATCATCAACATTTACAATTTTACTCGCTGCCAATATCAAGTATTTTGAAAGTAATAAGAATGCTTATTTTCCTATTATCGCAAATTGCTTTTTCTAGGTATTCCCTGCAGGTTTTGCCTGGCTCATAAGTTTCAGGTGACTAGGTGATCTCCTGTGCCCTGACGCAACAGGGCTTTAAGCCGTCAACGATTTTCCAGCCTTTTACATGTAGTTTGGCATGAAAAATTGCACCCTACGGCATAAATACAGGGCTAATGTAATGTAGAGACATAAATACAGGATGACAAAAAGGTCTACATAGGTAAGGTAGAAAGATAAGTTTCCCTACATTGTCGGATTAGTAGTTTATTGCTATAATTAATGTTACCACAATTTATTGGAAACAAGAATAGGGTCGGCATATCTTATTCTAAATAGCACTTTCTCTTTAACCCATAACTCCAACATAATAAGAAAACCCAAGTGAGCAAATGATATTACGGTAGTATATGTATCAAAGCAGATTGAAGGTATAAAAGATAACTAACGCTGATGAAGCTTCTTGAAACAGTGGTTTTTATATAATATACACTTTAGTAATGTTTAAAGACGAAATATTTTGTTACATTATGCATATCGGCTAAATGAAGCTGCTGTATAAACTAATTATAACATTAACTATAACAGAATAAAAACTATATATGTGTGAGAGACGATGGTGTGGCATATTGTATCAAGGATCTCACTCTTAACCTTGTTGTTTGATAGCCGTGAATGTATTTCCCTAAAAAAAAAACACACACACCTCCCTTAAAGACAATCTATCGAATCGGTTCAAATGAAAAATAGGTTAGCCGGCTTTTGTTTTTCAGAAACTGGGGTCTCTAGGTGTGTTCCCTTTTGAGTCGTATGAACTTTCGATGCGCACTTGAAAGTAATGTTTTTAAGTACTGTCCATAAGTGCCCTCTCTTCTATCTGCAAACGATTAACTTACTATTTTCCGAAAAAAAATTCTCGAAATAAAGGACGTGTGGAAATTTCCTAACGATACTTTATCAAGCACTTCTTAAGTTCTTTCCATGCAATCATTCTGCACGTGCGTTACAAATATTTATGCTCCTTTGTGCAGACGACATAACAAAACACGAAATTAGATTGCGATGGCATTCTACAAGGTTGATCCCGGATAAGTTATGACGCACTAAGTTAGTGTTGATACCTTTATGTGTATCATCAGATACACACTACGAAGTTTTCCGTAGGGCAGTAAAATACTGCTTCAATGTTGCATGTCTAAAGGTTTTATAATTTCTTAATTGACGTTACTTGTTTTTACGTTAATTTCCCAAGATGTTTTTTTCCTAAAATGTATTGTCACGACATACTACTGCTGGTACCAAGCCAAAAATAACTAGGGGGAATGATAACAAAAAATTATAATATCTGTGCAATTATCCTGTAATGCTGAAAACATCAATGGACACTGAACACTGACAGTTACTCTGAAGAAGAAACTTTTATCTTGCTTTATGGGAGATATCCATGTAATAGCTGCTAACTATCGGGATGCCCAAAAGAATCATCATCTTTAAATTTACGATACGTACTTCGACACCTGTTTACTCTGATTCAGACAGTTTGTAGTTTTTGTCCAACGTTCAACGAAGGAACCTTAGAGGTCACAAATTTCAAGTGGCAGTCGTGTATTTATCATTACCACCTGAAGGAGTTCGATGTATTATTTTGCAAGCTAACAATGTTTTCGTTTACGATGCAATATTATTATCTTCCAGATCTCGTGGAAGCACGTGGCCGAGCTAGCGGTCTACGGCCTAGTGATGTTCCTCTCGCTGCTGGGTAACCTTTCCGTTGTAGTCGCCATCCTAACCCAGCGAGCAATGCGCACTACGATTAACTACTACCTGCTCAATATGGCCGTGGCCGATATCTTCATTGTGCTTTTCTGTATGTGGGTTCATTTCATGAATGTTTACATCTTCAAGGCATCATATCGTCTAGGAGCATTTATGTGCCGCATTGAAGCATTCGCCAAAAGTAAGTTCCAGCAAACGTTAACACTAGGCAATAGGTTGGGATAATTCTAATCTGGAGGCAGCACAATCGACTGTTACATATGGCATATAGATTCAGTCATCGCACGTACTTATAGTTGCTAAGTGGCTCGCTTTCTGTAACTAAAATTACCTTTGCATAATGCTCACATAAAGACAAATACTTTAATCGTTATCATGCTTAATGAATTCAGACTAAAAATAGCAACCGACTTAACGAAGTACTGTGCATATATTGACTCGGGCGTGATCTTCGATTACCGAACAATCTTACTTATACAAAGTTCTTGGCGTTTTCCGTTCTGATCGAAATACTAGATATGCACAGAATACTATTGATTTCCTTTTATCTCGGTTTCCGTTGCGTATGTTTCTCATGCAGTGACGTGCTTGACCGCCTGCGTGCTAACTCTGACCGCAATCTCTTGTGATCGATTCGTCGCAATTCTGTTTCCACTGCACGCGGCTGCACGCATAACGAAACAACGGACATCGTGCATAATTCTTGTAATTTGGTGCCTTTCTACGATGGTAGCACTGCCACTCGTTGTCTACTCTAAGCTCTACACGGTACAGGTTGGTGATTTAGGCACACATGAGTATTTTAAGCGATATAAGGTGTTTCTACTTACTATTATCAGTTACGAAGAAACAACAAAGCGGAGCTAACTGCGACAGACACGTACGGTGTGACTAAAATCTATTTGAAATCCGTTTTCATAAACGGTGAATGGATTTCGTATAAATGAATGGGTGAGCCAACCTTGTACACCTAGGTCACATCTACAGCAAAGTCCAAATTTCTTGAAGAAACTATTTATAGGCACTTGGAGGCGTGCTACAATTTCGAAATAAGTTTAGTCCTGGTTACTGCCCAACACCAAACGATGAACAGAAGCACAGCGTAGAGAGTAATCCCAGGTTTGCATGTAAGTTCGATAAGTGCCTACTGGATAGATCTGCATTATTCTACGTTTATATGAATAATTAGAGTAAGTAACTTGAACAAATTCGTGTAGCAGCATGTGGTATGTGCATAGCCGTTCTGTTGAAATCCTTTATTTACGTGCTTGCTAGTTATGGGAAAATACATAGTAAATTCGAACTGAATTACTCTTATACTTAATTTTATCATTATTAGGTATAGATAGATATTTTATTTATCATTTATTTGCTATGTAAAGCCTCTCCGTATTATTATTAATGTAGAAAACCTATGCACACGACTCGGTTTTTGGCTGTAAGTAAAGCCATTTTATATCACACTCATTTACATTCGGCCCATCGAATCGAACTTCTATTCAGATTCTATTAATTAGGTGAAACATGCCATTTCTAAATGAAATGCTTAGGAAAAAACGTAAAGCTTTGGTGACGTTCACACTTGAACGAAAAAATACATTTAGGGGCTGTTAAAAGCTCAAAAATAAAAGGGATTGAATCAACAACAGTGTCCGTTTTGTAGCACCTGGGTCAAATTTTGGTTTTCGTGCAAGCTAAAACAAATATGCCATATTCAAAGAAACCCAGACAGTATGAAAGACTAGGTACGAAGATAGGATTTTGTTGGCCTTCCGTATTAGAAGGCACCTATACTAGAAACGTCGCGTAAATTCGTGGCTTAAAATGGCAGGTCTTATCTCGGGAGTAAATAATAATAAAAATAAGAAAAAACATATGCTTTGTCTACAGTTTGCCGGTCAAGCGGAGGTATCATATTGCGGTTCATCATGGCCAGGGGAAGCACGATGGTCGCCAGAAATTTCAGAGTGTGTTATCGCCTACCCGACGCGTAAACTTTACTACTTTATAGCTATGGTGACGTTGTTCTTTCTGCCCATCGGTGTTATGCTGACCGCCTATTCATTCATCATTTGGAAGCTTTGGATACATCAAGTGCCAGGAGAATTTGGAAACGCGAGAAGTAATGGGGCCTCAGCCAGTGGCCAAAGCAGCTACGGGGGCATGCAGTACAATAAAAACAACTCGGTCCACAATCGCTCCAAGAAAAAGGTACGCTGAACAGGATGGAATTGTGTTTTTTCCTGACATTTTAAGCGTAACAATTCTTTTGACGAATTAATTTTCTCCTCTCGTAAAAAAAATACGATAAAGATACTGGGAATTGTTTACGTTGCGGGTCCTTTTGGACTGGACAGAACTGTTTAGGTTTATTCATGTCATAGTTGACTTGGCAATAGCTTCAGTCAAAAGGAATGGTCTTTATTGTACCGGAAATGTTTGCTACAATCTTGCTGGCCATTTTGATTCATATACCAGGCGCATTCACTGGGGTTGCAAGGGTTATCAGATGTTTTCGATATATATATATATATATATATATAGAGAGACAGAGCTTGCCTTGAGCTAAAACAGATGCAGATCGCGTCTGTGGACCGAACAATCTCCCTATGGTAAAAACTCGGGAAAAAAACATTCGGGCTTGGCTTCTTTGCTTGTATATGTACTACTGAAATGTTCGACAGAATTTTTCAACAATAGTAAACTTGCTAACGTACCCATTAAATTCGTGATGGTGGGTTTCAGAACTCTTTCCGTAGGTTTTCTTTACCTCTCAGTTTTAGATGTATGCAACTGTAATTTAATAGGTATTCATAGATTTTTATTTATCTCTTGCAGTAGTTCTTGATCAAGACTCTTTATTAGCTAAAACCGATGTGGACATGCACACACTATAATAATGTTTGCATTCTTGCAACCGATGAATCCTCTAGAGGCTCTCACGTGGCCTATTGTAGTGAGTCTCGCATAAGCAGCAAAATACAATATGACAAACATCGGGCTTATATTTTCTTATATTTCTAACGTCGACAGCTGTGAGGAGAAGTTATAAAAATATAACTTCTCCTCACAGCTGTCGATGTTAGAAATGTTCTCGCAAAACTTGATTGTTAAACATCATCTCTTTTGCCAGCGTTCCATCCAATAAAGTATAACATTAATGTGTAGCATACATTTTTGTTTTATCAAACACGTGTTCCTAGAACACAACATCCAAGACAGATACGTGTATTTCGCTAGCAGTGACATTCAGATCCAGGTATCCGGGGCTAGCATAACCGTTGCTTACGGCAACTGTTGTTGTAACTTCTATTCTCTGTGGGGGCCCACCTAGCCATTAACCTTAAGTTGCTAGCTGACGGATATATCTTTCAAATGTACGTACGACCTGTTTCACAGTCGGTCTTCATTTGTCCACAGCAAGCAGAAATATAATATATATACATATATATATATGGACCTTGCATGCTCCGCCATCAGTGTGTACGGGGTGTCGGTACTAATCGAAACTGCTTTAACGACTACATGCAAATAACAATAACAACTGATATTTGAATGATCTTTTTTTTGCTGACGTACTCACCGAGAGGTCTTTTACTGGCATGTTCGATTCAATATATATTCAATATGACCGCTATTCACTCCGATCATGGGTTCAGTTGGAAGTCTGTACCTCTCAAGTCAAATTTCGAAATTCTACTTATTCTCTATGTTCATGAATGACCTTTTAATAGAAAACCTGAGAAAAGCGATCGTGGTACGCACAAACTCGTTGAGGTCTTTCAAATGCGTCTTACACAAAATGCTGCGGATTTATATTTTTGTTTCTAATAATAAAAAATGTTTAAAACCCTGGAAGTTCGAAAAAGTCAAAAAGGTAAGGGACGTTCAAAAATTTAAACGCGACCATTTATTTGGAGCGTATCAGGGTATCCATAAAAATCCACTAATCCTTTATGCATCGAAATTCCCGGGCGATCAGAAATGGCTTTTTGCATCGTCTGGATAAATTTTCGAGCCTTTCCATTCTAATCACTATTTTGTATATTTTTCTATGCCATGTAGAAATCTTCCTCTATATTCAGGAGTCGCACGGAAGCAAACAATCAAATCGACTTCAAGAAACAAAAAAGTTTCCCATTTGGTTCGTCGGGAGCGAAGACGATTAAACACAACACATTCTTCGAGGAATGTCTTCGTGTGGGCATCGCTTGCTTTTATGTAGCAAATTGATTGTACACCGAAAAATGACCGCGGTTTGATCGATTTAGCCATAGCCTGCGAGTGTCCTGAAATTTTTCTTAGTTGCGCTCCCCTCATTTCCTGAAGCGACGGACACAGTAAGCAGCATCGATGATTGTTTTTGTGCGCTCCCAGATCTCTCTGTTCCTTCTGACAGATACACAGTTGCCATTGAAGTGTGTGCGATGTGGTGTAGCCGACATTATTAAAGTCGGGCATCAGCACTATACTTTGTTTCGAATACGTTCCAGTTTCGGTCACTGAACGTTTAGCTGAACGCACCGATGTTTGATGTTCATGTTAAATAATACTGAGCATAGCGTAGTTTTACATTAATGTCGACTCGCGAGTGGTAGGTTCCGATATTAACTGGGTGAACCCTTTGACCTATTGTTAAAGACAGTAATTCGGAAGTTCTTTTATCGTAAATTGTTTTTCTGCTTGCTGACCCGTTTAAACTTCCTCATAAATTTTGTTTGAACTAGAAAAAAAGAGCACAAAAGTGAAGTAGGATATCTGGAGAGCTTATGGTATTGTAGAAATAACCACTATAGCTTGTTTCCTGTTTCAGCAATGCTATGTAGGCGTCGTCGCTGCCTCAGCTATAGATTAAAAATTTAAAGTTTAGAGCACTCGACGTTTTGTGCTTGTTGTTTATTAAGTTCGTGACTACGATTTGAAGGGAAGCTGCTTACAAGTTGAATTTTTTCTTCGTGATCATTTTGCCACAAGTCATGCTTCGAAGATTCAGATCGGCATGCAATTCATTCGCTGTTGATTGATGGAGTTTTTCGCGGCTCAGGTAATCGCATTAAATCAAAGTGGATCCAATTGAAAAAAAAATCGTTTCAATGTTGTATACCATAAGCTTGACAAAGCTTACACACATATTTCAATTTTTTTTTCATGTTAGGTTGAAAAATATTGTCTTCTATTCTTCTGTATGTAAAGTACTTGTGCGTATTTCTCAAAGCGGGCCGCGTAGCAGCTGACATCACTGTTGTACTATGTTGCCCTCTACGTAGTATTCTATTTTCAAGGCGAAATGAGCTCGTGTTTTGCCCCTGAACGCCTTTTTTTTGGCTAACCACTTTGAAAAGAAGCCCACTAGCGTGATGATGCCAACAGTGATTACCCCCTCTGCTGTCCTTTGCCCGCTATGTAAAATTGAATGTAATATTTAGTATGTCCTAATCCAGTTATGAGAAGCGCGTTCGGCAACGCGCAATGCGATGAAAAGAATTCAAGATGTCTGATTTCACGGCAGGTTACGATTCAGCGGATTATCATATTGATCACGTTTTATTGCCTTTAGGCTAAAATCAAACCCCTTCAATGCGAGCTGCGCGCCCCCTAGAGACCGTTAAGGAATTCTTTGAGTAGCCCGTTGGGAATCTGAGCTAGTGGCACATAAATCTATTTAAACGCAGGCTACAATTCTCTGCATAGGAATACTATTAACTGAATGGCTAGTATTCACTCACCTATAATTGCATGTATTTAAGTGCGTGAATAAGGGCCACCTCTTCTAAGCCATCCTAACTCGTATGTTGACAATTTCTTTACCTACAGTATCAATATGCCATCATAAATGACGATTCTAATCCTTTTTTATGAGGCCGAACGCTTCTTGCTGCCGGGTCAGTGACGAAATGTACACAAAAACGGAATTTACTTAGGTTCTAATTGGACGTAACTTGTCTCGCTCCTTAGAAAAAGCGAGAACAAAGACAAACGGTGAATTAACCTAGTAGTTTTGTCGTCAGGCACAGTACGTTAAAAAAATTTTTCGTACTCGATCATTTCATCCTGTCTATTTACGTAAGTAACTTACATCGATCACCATGATGATGTATGTCAATTGGCAAACTTGCCGAGACCTGATTTTTACTTCGAATATTTAAAAAAAAAAATACCGAGACCTTTTCGAGAGAGTATAGCAACACCATATTCCACTATCCTTAAAAATGATAGATCGGGATCCCTCATCAGCAGGACGCTTCAGTGCCTGCTAAAGCTGAAGGCTCTTCACAAATTTCAAGGCACATATTCGGCAGCTTGTGCTATATATTTAGATTATTAATGTTTGCATAAATGCCAAGCTTTCATCGTAGGAGTAACTAAGCCGAAAAGCATTAAAGCGTTTGTAGATTCTGATTGCTTTTCTAGAATGAACACTTCTTATGATAAAACTTCATCATATGACAAATAAGTCATGACAAAAACAAACTATCACAACTCAGGTAACGGATTGGAGAAATTACACCGTAGCAGAGCCGTACAGAAGATAAATGAAAATTCCATTACGGTGGATTACATAAATCATGACTGCGATGCAGGGAACTTCGCCTAAACGCTCTTCATAGACAGAATAATACTGTCTCGAGTTTTATGTTCCCTATTAGCATTGAATCAGACAGTTGAATCGCCGAATAATGTAAGTGGAGATTATTCCGTCATTCGTGAAGTTCCTAAAGCTCTTTACGCACAAGTTGATCTAGCTAGCAATTCAGGTCGCTCCCTCCGAAGGGCCTACTCACCGAAAGCGTCATATGAATCACTAATACAGAAAGCATTCACTATCGTTCGACCTTCTTCTGTGAATCCCGAATTTATTCATTTGAAATGTTTAGCGATATTTCGCCCGTTTGTAACTCCGTTAATGTACGCTGAAATGATTGTGTTGTTTACGCTGTACTGATGTAAACACCCGGTGACTGCGTGAAACACTTTGGGACCCAAACTGAACGTACTCCTCCTGGTCGAAGGGAATAAAACTGGGAAATCGACATTACTGTAATGCCGGAAAGGATCAATTGAATGTCCTGTTTCAAGGACTATATGCTATTTGGTCATTGTAAGTATTCACCAAATGGATGATAACAGCACACTAATGAATGCCCACGGAAATATACAATAGGCATCAAATTAGTAATAGAAATGAACGATTAACAAACGTAAAAACTAGCAGTATGTGGCAGAAATGGGTCATATTCATAGTTATTGTATATTAATAGGATCAATCTTATATACATTCTCATTATACGCATCAAGGCACGGGATACGTTCAAAACCTTGCCTTAATGTTATGATAGCTTTCAAGGTTTTTACAACCTTTAATATATTTGAATATCAGTAGAACTAAGTCACTATGGAGTATATGACTTAGCAGTTGAAGTTGCTAGAACTAGCATGGGATAACATTAAGCAGTTTCAAATCATTTGTTGAATTTTAACAAAATGAATTCGACGCTTATGTGCACACATGTTTTTACGCATGTATTACTATCACGAACAAATACGTGGAAAGATTGATTAAATAATAATAGCTGCGTTTAAAAAAACAGCACACTTAAGCACCTTATTTTAGATATAAGGTGCTTCCTGTTAAAGGGGAAGATAGCTGTGCACAGAGGCACATAGTGAACTGCCATTTAGGTATAGTACTGGCAGTACCAACGTTAAAAAACGAATCAAGTTTTCGTACCACCATGCAGTTCAAAGGGGTATTTCTATATAAGCAAAGAGAGAGAGAGCAAAAGCTCGATGAGTTCCGGGAGTTTTTATTGCGAAGCGCAGTGACAAACGTGACTACTATCCTCCTAGAGAAAATGGTCGTTCAGACATCGACCGTTAAAGAAAGGAGAGTTCTCTCCTATTTTTCTGCGAGTACCTCGTACGCTCTATTGCACAGAACAATCCAATCACTGATAGATTTTATAGTGGGACTATTGAACGTGTAACTGTATCCGCAGGCTAGCAAATATCTTGATCGTGCGATGATTCCACTTCCATGTTGATGTTCCACTCATGGTGACTGTTTGTACACAATCATTACGCTGACAACAAAGCCCGGGTGATTAACGAACGCAGTACTACTTTCCTTCTGTCCATGGCGAAGTCTTCGAATATTAGAAATGAGCCAACAAATGCCCATTTCCTGGATATTTCTTTAAATAATCGCTATGTGGTATTACAATTGAGTGAAACCACGATTGCAAGCGTACTTGCGTTTATTAGCTAAAATTAATAGGAGAATTTGTGTGGAGAAGAAGCGTAAAACGTGCACGCTTGTAGATGTACACATATACCTATTGCGATCGATTCTTCACCTGAACGAAAACTAGTAGCTACAATAGAAGACTGTAAACAAACCTGGATGTTCATTCATAAAACGTAGCTACATGAAAATATAATCGAAATTTCTATGTGGAATTTGTGTGTGTGAAAATTCTATGTTGAGGGAAAGGTACACAGTTGGTTTAATGCTTACAACTTGACCTAGAGCTAATAGATAGGAATATAATCGCAGTAGTCATGTACATATTTTGCAGTACACAGATTGAGTTAAAACACTTCAATAGAACAGTGCAACACATGAACCCATTATTCCATAGCGTAAACGATTATTATTTTATTTGTCTTACTTATTTGATGATCCTAAGAAAAGTCTTCATTTCATGTCTATAATACATACAATATAATAAAAACAAGATGTTAAGCTAAGTGTTTTGCCAATTTCCGTCTTTATGCGAAACCAAACATAAATAAACAAAAAATAAAGATGCAAGAACATTTTGATCGTAATAATATAAATCACAGAATGCGATAAATATACATTACGTATAAATATATGTATATTATAGAAGCGACCGTGGTGTTGCACTGATTGTTAAGAAAAAACATTAATAGACAATGGGACAGCGTAATGGCCGCTTTCATACCGTTGTAAAAACGAACGATTATATACCAGGTGGTGCTAATCTGTCGTTGGGCAAAAAACATAGAACCCCAAGCCGAATTATGGTATGCTAGTTTGTCTGTCCCCTTCGTTTTATGGCAGTATTCTTGGCTACTCTTGTTTGGCCAAATGACGGATATATCTTCTTTAGTTGATTTTTATACTCGTCTTTTAACCGAAGCTGTGCTCTTGCCTCCAATAAATTGAATCGGTACTTCAGTTTCTTAACAAACGCACACAGCTGGCCAAGAGGAGCCATAAATTCCCATGACGCGCTTTAGATTGTCGGACTTGTTCCCAGCTTAAGAACACTCCGTAATATGCACCAGGTCTGACCTTGATAAAATGAGAACGAATGAGGGAAAACTTAATTCTCATTCTAATCATAGTATAATAGCAGTCACTAGCGCATTTCGCGTCCTTAATCCTGAAGGTTTCTCCAAGAACCGAACAGTAAAAGCGAGGTGCTATACTTCCTCTCTTTAGCAGCCTTTAAATTCTAGTTTTTATTCTTGACTCTTGTGGCAGATGCTTAGGCACCAAGTCATTTGCCTTTTTGTAACTTTCTGAGAAGCGTACTAAACGTATTCGGATCGAGAATACAAAAATATAACAAGACAGTACACACTTACTACACAGTTACCACTGCCTCAAGGAGAAAAAACACCGTTATTAATCACAAATGTACACCAACCGTTACCATTTATTTACAATGGTAGGAAACAAGCATTAGCAATACGATCTCCTATTTAGTATATGCATAACCAGTATATACATATACTACGTAATATATAGGTATATAACTTCAGGGTCGTCTCATTTCATCTTGCTCATATAGGTGATTCGGATGGCCTGCTATGTTCTGCTTGCATTTATCATCTGCTGGATGCCCCTGCAGGCCACAGTCCTCTACTCGCAGATCAGGGACGATTCACATAAGCAGGTGCGTAATTGAACAGTGTCATAGGTAAATTTTTAAGAATAAGGCTATTGGCTATTTTAATTCAAGGTGTTCCGTTGTATTTCTACACCGTTAATTGAATGAAATAAAAATACCTGTTTTAATAAGCTTCGTGCAGGTAGAAGGTGTGCATGAAGTATGAAGTATGAATATGAATATGGATGAAAAATATGAAGTAGGTAGAAGTGAACATGCTACATATAATGGGACATCAGTATCTTGTTGGCTTGAAGCCTTGAAGGCTTAAAACTCAGATTGACTTTTTTTTTTCAAAGCCGAGAGTATAACATAACCTTAACACGAAACCTTACCACAATGGGGTACTTGTTTGGCCTGCTTATGGTGATCGTCTATATGTTCTAATAGCCGGTTTTCGCAAAATCACACCGAAATAACTTCTACGAATCAATAAGTCGGAGCGGATTCCCTTCCGCCCTTTAGTCTTCTTTTTTTTTGTTAGTGTAACTTTAATAAACCAGTTTATGTTGTTTACGTGTTGCTTATTTTTCCAGTGAGAGCTCGACGTAGTAAACAGTCAGTTTCGTTTCATGATGTTGTGGTCTAGACCGAGCACTCTTTCCAGTGAGAGCTCGACGTAGTAAACAGTCAGTTTCGTTTCATGATGTTGTGGTCTAGACCGAGCACTTAAAAGATCTCCTTGTTCGAGTTCTAGAAAAATAGAATCTCCTTAAAAACCCGATAAAATCAGTGCTTTTTGTATTGGTCCGTTCGGCTTATCAACCTCTCGGTCGTGTGTTTGCTGTCACTAAAATTTGACAGTCACAACAAGAGATTCTCACCTTTACTATTATCAGCTAGATTATGGTCAGCATGTGTGGATATGTTCATGGCGTCTGGGACTATCAGCAATACCCTCTAACCAAAACTCAACTTGTTTTTCTGATATAATAACACAATAGTAATGACACTAAACATGGTATATTTTTGTAATGAATACTTATGTAGGACACAAAGCGCAAAAGACTTGACTGTGGAATTAAGCTCTAAACTTTCCAGTACTGAAATTAGGTATTTTTCTCGAACCGTCCGATTGCGGGGTCGTCAAAGAAGAGTTTCGGCAAACAAACGGATGACTCGAGGCCAAACAGGAGCCATGTTGGCAATGTGTGGATCGCATTTCTAAAGGTCTCTCCACTCAAACGCGTTACCTTTTCAATTAGTCTGTGCTTTATGAGTGTTGCAATTAAACTAGCAGATGCGGAAGTTGAACTTCTAGAACCATTTTTAGGAATTATTATTGGAAATGGCTGGCTTTTAGGGTAGTACTTGGGTCCAATTCGTGGACGAAAACTCCAGACAAGTACGAAAAAAATCTGGTAATTTAGTTTAGTTAGTACAGCACGTAAGAGTTCCTAAACTTCAAAGAGGCGATAAAGTAGCTCATTTCGAAATTTAGTTCTAACTTCACTTCAGCCTACTCCATATAGCCCGATAAGAGAGACGAGTCTGTCAATGGCAACGAGAAGTTACAAGTGAACTCCACTGAAACTTCAAGTTAGTCAATATGTATATCTAGAGTTTTCACCCTCACGATAGCATTTCCCATTATTCTAAAAGGTCGAATCATCCTAGCGAAGCTACGGCGTCTGGGTACAGCATTTGTTATCTGCTGCATGCACACCTGTCATATTCACTAATCAAGTATGAAGGTCAATATTTTCGCCAAATGGTCCACTGCAGAATTTATGCACACATATGCCTATAGTAGGCTATAGTAGCCTTCCTGCTTAACTGTGCATAAAGCTCTAAAACGCGCGTCTGCAGTTTTCTGGTTTGTGGAAACACTTTCAAATTTTTTACGTGTTTGCCTTACAAAAACCAGCAAACAAAATACTCTTTTTTTTGCGCCTCACTAGCTCTTAAGGGAAGAGTTAGTGTGTGTTATTATACCACTGGTGTTACCATGTATACCACGGTAGGTCATCTTCAACAGCTCGACAGAGTTTGTTTGGGTGGCGATCGAGAGATGTGAGGCACATAATTTTATGTATTTTCTATCGGTTGAACGAATCATTTGAAATAGTCGAAAATAATGTAATCATTGAACTAGTGAAACGCTGGAACTTGAACCCGTAGCCTTGAAAACTCGAGCCAAGGCTTTATGATGGCCAAGTGTTTATTGTAAATAACCAAATTTACCCTAATTATGTTGTGCGAAGTGTTGCAATGAACGATTCAAAAAACATTGATATAAGGGTGTATACATTTTAATGGCTGGTTACTTCGGTATGTGTAAAGATAACAAATTATTTATGTCTAAACCTACAATTTACGTTGGCTAACATTTATGTAAAAAAAAAAAAAAGCAAGTTATCTTACACGCAGTACCGATGGAAAGGACCAATAGCTTCAAACGCTTCTACTCCACAGAATAGTTCAACTGATGGCTGATTGTAGCATAGTTCGTCGGATCCTTTACTTCTGTCATTATTGACTGATCAAGGCTAATGATATAGTTAATGGCCGGGTTTCTATTTATCCTATGTACTTCCCAATGTGACTTTTATCATCGGCTGTAATGCCTTGTTGGCAAGACGCTTTGTTGATACTCGTAGTTCCATGACGCTTCTTGTGCATATATAGGGTGTCCATCCGGTGTATATGTTATCCAAGCTATTGCATACGAGCGAACGACCTACCGGGCAATAGTATCTATGTTTACTCAACCGCTTAATAACGAGCCATAAATTATGAATGCATCGTGCTTACCCCACGTGGAACACGCCATAGGCGCTCCATGTAAACATATCGATGATAGGTACTTTGCACGTACCTGCCCGTTGACGCAAGGTCATCATTTGCTATTGAAATGATACTGGTAACGAAATCGTTACTTTTACGGACAATGTTGCCTCTAACGACAACACATTGTTGCTTGTTTTAATCACCGAACATGCTTGTTTGTATTAGTCCTCAATGGGAATAACGTTAAATCGGTACTAAATTGTGTTACATTTTCGCAGTAAAACTGTCTAATTCTTGAAATTTTATCTAATTTTACAAATAAAAATAAAGGAACGTTTAATATTTTTAGCTAAACGGTGAATTTTTATCTAATGAGCTTTGGTATCCAAACGTTGAAAGAAAAAGTATTTTAAGCTTCATTCTAGCCATCTTGTCTTTTGGCGATACGCCACCTTGATATTACTCATATTTGCCTTCGGCCGTTAACGTGATCAATCGTTAGACAACTAAATAATATAAATGATTAGTGATGGAAATGTTGCCATACGGTTCATAGTTAGATAGGCTCATAGAAGGCCCCCATTAGATCCGCTGCAGACACCGGAACAATGGGTCCAAATTAGTTATTTTTATTCCGACAAGTACAACAATCGTTCGAGATTGTTCGGATATCGTACGTGACACACTGTCTGTTGTGGATTGCATAATCCATATTCTAGCAAATCCGCTATTACCATTTTGGAGTTGATCAGTTCCTCTTACATGTACACACTCATCCGGGCGACAACTACGCCTGGGAGTTTCTCTATTGATAATGTCTGATTGTTTCGTTACACTCGGCCGCTTTGCTCATACGGAACCAGCCTCGCGCTATTCCCAACATAAAACCACCTATTTGCGCTTTCCCTTGGGATGCTACATGCTACCTTCCTGAAGGAAGTAACAATCCTGAATTTGTTTGCAATTATCTCAGTAATAATTACAAAGAGGCCTTGATAACGATAACTTGCTCTTCGGACAGTGATGGAATTAACAGATCGATTCTTACAGCCCGTCTCGCATCAACTCATATGTACCGTCATTATATCTGCAACCGATGTGTCTGCTTTATGTGAACGATGTAAATCTGGATAATGACACACAAATATCATACCATATAGAAGCGGTAAATTAACTTGAACACAAGATAACCGTATTTTCTCTGTAAAAGGGGCAAGGGTGGCCTGCTAGTCTAATAAGAAACGTACATTGGTTACTTTGTTGATTCATGCTTCTCCTATCACACAGATGCCTGCATGGTTTTCAACATTTTCATCATTTGCTACCTTCCTAGCGTTTTCTAACTCGCTCGTAAACCCTGTTATATACGGAGGATTCAACCGGCAATTTCGTCAGGCCATCCTTCAACTGCTGCGCTGTCGGCCGACACGTGTTCAGGCAACGAAAATGCGTAAGTTCTTTTTCATTTAAACTATCTACTTGTATCGGTTTATCTAGCTTTTAGAGATGATGCGTGTCTGTTAGATGACATTAGAGCTATTTAATATTACGAAGTTATTAAATTATTATATTATTAAGTTCTTCATTAGGATGTGGAAACTTGCTGTTTGCCTTACAATATATGTCTAGCCATTTCTGGAATAAATTAATTGTCTTTAGCGTTTTCTATACAGTTGGCAAGTACTAAACTTCGTACTATGATTGTTTTAATAACCCTTACCTTCAGCGGCAAATGATCTTTATGAAAAAGTTCAACCGCTACTCAAATAAAATCACAGGCGGCAAAGTTCAGAAGCTGTAGGGTCTATAAAAAAAACACTTAAATCCTATTGAATAAATCAAGTTTGTCTCGCTCGTTATGTTTGATTTATATACATAGCTGCATTATGATTATATAGTCTTTGTCGTCGGCTTGGGCCGCGCATTGACTGGGTTCTTATAGCATCAACAGCGGTTAAAGGAGCTAACTGCCTTCGAAACCAATCCCGAAAACAGGATTATAATTATGGAGTAAAACAATGTTTCGATAATGTTCTTCTCCTCTATGATACCCAGATGGTATTAAGTCAATATGCAAATTATCACAGTATAATGATTTCAGAAAGTACACTGTAGGGAATAGATGTAGGATAGATAAAAAAAAAATAGGCCCTTATTTTCAATATCATGTGGTAGCGTTGTTTCATTTTCAGTAATTACATTAATTAATTTCAATAACAACAGTAATTATTAAAATATACAGCTTTAGCGGCCATGCGTTGATTTCTCTGGAGTATTGCAATATTAAATCGCCAAAAACTAACGACCGCTCTGTGTATCGAATAATGCTTGTGCGTTTTATGTTATTGAACTGTGTGGCAGAAGCCTTATTTCCACACGCTGATAGAAAAGAATAAAAATGAAGAGGAATAAACGTGCTTGTGTAGCTTTTTGCTTTGTTTCACCGTAAGTACTAATCTCTTTTCAAATGTACTTCGTCGACAGCCTTCGACTGGTACAACTTTCTCACGTAGACCCTTCTCGAGAATTTAGCTCGCATTTAGTGAATTATTAATTCAATTAATAAAATTTAATACACAGAGTACTGTTTTGAACTTCGTTGTCAGGGAAAAATTATTTTTCACAAAAAATTCCTTACAATTTAGTCGACCACGGCCTATACAACGTTTCCGTAAACACTTATAAAGAAAATACAGGGCAAAAAAGGCCTAGAAAGGGTGAAATCAGAAACGGGTTGCACAGTTGTCAAGTCGAATACCTACTTAAGTTCAATTGTAATTTGGTGTGGCTAGATCCTGAGGTATCGTTTAAGAGTTGGTAAAATCATATGAGTGAAAAGTTAAACAACTTTTATTAGCCTGTTTGATACATGCAGTAATATACATAGTGGAGAATCTATACAGTAGAAAGGTTTTATAAAGGATTTCAATAAAAAATTACAATTTATGTAAAAATGAGCCATAACAAAACATGAATCTATGGGACCATTCAAAAATGCTTTAGGGGGGGAACGGAAGACAAGGTAGCACTCAAATGATATCAATCAGAAGGTCCCTGGCACTGTTAGCATTGATAATCTGCCCCTGAGTAACTGTGTAATAACATAATGAAATTCATTCATTCTGTGTCGAGTGGATTGGCTTATTCCATCTCTCCAACGGCATCGGTACTGAGAGTAGTAATGGACTTAGATTGTAGACGTGGGCCATATCTGTAGTTTGCCCACAGGGGTCGAGCTTAGCAATTCCATCCTCTGACTTCATTTACCTAGAGAACGTTCCGATCAAATGTAGATAAAAAATTAACGCACATTGGATGTAAGTATTGACACTGACTGTTAATACGCCATATGCGGCCTCAGCGAAATCGGTGGAATGCTGCGATCCACATTTTTTTCTTCTGGAATAATACCCATAAGTTCAAGGTATTGCGAGAGGCGGGTCGTTAGCTTATAGCAATAGTTTCTCTTAATGATATTCTGCTCCCCTAGATAGCTCCATCGGGTGGCCTTTGTTTCCTGGTATCTTTAATAGTAGAGGTCTTCGCAACTTTATGGAAACATAGTGAGTATAAAAAAAAATTGTTCAGTATAGAGCTAGGAAAAAGGCCTGTTGCAAATACTTATCGCGGATCAAAACAAGGCCAAAAGCTTTTCGCTTTCCAAAGTTTATCAATGGCGTCCACTACCTCCTGGTTCTTCAAGTCTCGATTAAATGCGTCTATTAGCGTCTTAGGCGTTAAAATGTAATCTTTTACGTCGATATAATCAGCAATTATGAACATTCGACTGAAAGCGAAAGAAGGCAAGAGCCCTAAAGAGGTTTCGGAAGAGCACACCTATGGGACCTGCAAGTGTTGCCGGCCTTAGGATAAACTATATATCTATAAGAATACGCCACTTCACGTTTCTGCCTTTGTCTAGAGAGGCCTGTTTGCCTAGATATACAACTTTGCTCATCTGCAGGTTTGTGACAAAAGATATCAATTTTGAGTTGCACATACGTTTCGAAGACGTTGATTTCTGAGGATCATTCATAACTGGACAGGCGATGTCATAAAGTTGGCGTTTCTAAGCTGTCTAGATGGTTGACCCGAGCCGGTAAAGTAGGAGTTCGTTGGTCCTGCAAATTAAAGCATCTGGAGATCTTCGCAATTGCGTCCTCCCTACAGGGTTCGCACATAAATAACAAGCCCATGAAACTGTGACAATATCATGTAGGCATCAGAAGTTTAAACTACGGCCTGGCTCAATAACATGTTGAGCAGAAACTTTCACTCCGTAGAATATATTTAGTTCGAAACATGTCGATGAGTAAGGTCCTGACGATGACTGAGGCGGTAGCGAAGCTGGTATTATAAGCAAATTTCGTGGAACTCGGGCCAAATCTGGATATCTGCACAAAAGATTTTCCAAAGAATCCTTATAAGAAAGTATCCATCTGTATAGCGAATGTGACGACTATTACTTGGGGCACCATGTCGTCAAAATGCTTAGCTTGAAGTGGAGAGACGTTTCTTTCCTATGAGAAGAACAATACAATGCGCTAACAATGCGGAAGGGACCCATTGAAGCGGCGTGACTACAAACCTCAGTACGAACATGTCACGGTTTCCTAACAACATCGAAGATAATCCAAAACCGAAAACTATGAAGCACCTCAGCTGAAAGTGAACCAACGATTATCCTTGTTCAGGCGTCCGTAAGGACATTGGGACATCGACTTCAGTGAAAGCGACCCGCGATAAAAACCTCGATATTCGCAATTTCACTGCGCAGTGTTTATTATAATGAAGTGTGAATAAGATATGTAGCAAAAATTGAACCTGTAGACTTGTACCACTAAATTGTAACTCAAAGTGTAATGATATTTAAGCACAGACGACGTTGGTGACCGCCATGTTGTAAATCGTTTTTCTAAAGATTGCATATAAAAAAAGGTGTAAGTTTGCTGTTGCCGCCGTCGTTTTTGCCAATTTTTTTTATCGTGAGGACTCAATTTTTTGCATATGGAAATATAGAGAGCATTTCGACTCGGTTCATCTAGATTTTTCCGGTACTATCAACAATAATTTTCTTACATTACACCCTCATCTAAAAACTCATCTATCACATCGTTCTTTTGGTCATGAGAAGAATGACTACAAAAACATGTAGACTTTTTCAGTCTACTATTTCATTTCAGTCGCTATGATCATTCAATAGATACATAACAGAAATTTCGACAAATAATCTTTAAAATCAACAATAGCCCTCAGTATTGAGCTATAAAGATGTTAACGAAAATTATATATATATAGGTACCACATGTGTCTGGTGGGTATCCCACCATACGCGCACAGCATATCCTTTTTTCCTGTATGTTTAAACATATAGATAAATTATTCCTAAGGTGAACTTCTTTACTGCAGTGTTATCATCAGGTGAGCCGTATATAAAAGATAGAAAGCCATCTTTACCGTTTTCAAGATTATATAAATCCACATATATATGCTATTTCTATAAAAGCGTGTTATTGTGCTTATCGTCGACGTTAGTCACTCTTTGTCAAACTATGCTAGTATGCTACTAAACGCATGAAGTACCACGTTCTCGCGAGGTCGTAACAGCTATTGATTAGATGTTATTTACGCAATTGTAAAGTGGCATGCTAATCTGAATACATAAATACAGTATGTGCATGTATGGCTGACGTCTTCACATCACTGTGGCAGAGCACGGTATATTAATCAACCTCAGCCCTGGCGTATTCGAACTTGAACGTGAAGATGCCAAATCTCTAATGAGATAAATGCGGCAATATAGGTTTTCGGGTTGTTTGAAGCTAATTAGCTGGTGAGGATAGTTTCCCACGGTGTTATCGCCATAACAGGGGTACCGAAAGGCTTTAAGTGTCTAGATTTCTAGTTTTTGTTGAGGTCGTCCTATTGGCCACGTATAGGTTATTCAAAAAAAGTTTGCATAGAACTTACTGGTCTGTTTCAGATGATTGCGCCTAGTGCTCGCTGATTTGTTTTCCTAGCGACCACTTCTGTCTTGAATAAATAGTGGTGAAATGAAAAAAAGCAAATATATATTTACTTAGGAAATACATTATCTATTCGACTTGTGCCAGAAGCATGTACCCGAGTATTACACTACGGCTTGTTTCACTCAATACTCTTGCTATATAGAAACATCAGGCTCCTCTATAAATTTATCAAGATATGGAACATTTCATACATGTAGCTTCTCAAATAATTTTAACCTATGATAAGATTCTATGCATGTACATTGTTGTCACGGATTTATATAAATATCATCTTGCTTAAAGCTCATATTAAAATGCATTCTTGCCGGCTACCGAGCCGGTATCATAATACATCTGATTCCAGGGTAGAGTGGAGCTCTTTCCTGGATGATATATCTTGGTCCGTCGGAATCACTCTGCTCGCTAAATATATATGTATACATAAACTTTCCTTAAACACTATATTCCCCCTCCATTCCCCTGTAGTACTGCATAATGGCCCGATCCTCGTAATACACTAGGAAGTGGCCAGGTTCTAATGACAAGGAATTTTCTGTGTATTAGTGGCTTCGTAATGGAAAACATTTCCTGGCTTCCACAAAAAATGGACCATATATTCATGCACTACTTATGCATCACAAAATAAATGTCTTAGTTCTGAAAATGTTCAGAATAAAATTAACATAACATTAATATTCAATGGTTACCTGTGGCCCTGATTGGCCAGTGAACGCACCAACACTAGAAGCAGTTGTGTTGGCAATGAGTACTCGTTCTGGACAACTACACTTTTTAGCTCTTAACGGTTACGGGCGGCGGACCCCTTTGTGACATGACCGCTAGCTTCGGCAGTCGTTTTCACTACGAAAGCAAGAGCTCGTTAATTCAGCCACCATGACATCATATATTTGTGGTCAGGAGCTGTCTTAGAAGAATTAATAAATTCAAGAGCTAACTTTTCCTTTATTATTATGTATTGCACTTAGATCGTAACTTACCATAGACCTAGGACTGTTTTCTTCAAAGTGTCACTGTGCCATGTTGTATTATACAAGTGTAGATTGAAAAAGCGACCCCACTAATACTTTCGTTTATTCTCCGAATCAGTATTCTTAAGTCGCGTATTATATGTACATCTAGCATTAAGTACAAAGCCCTTGCACGAAATCGATCCGGTTAACCTAAAAAAATGTTGTATTTACAGCCAAAGGACAAAATTACGTCAGTTGCTTTGTCTTGCATGTCATTGGCCTTTTTTGCAGGCTCGAAAAGATGTCCTGTGTGTATAACCCCGCGCAACGGCTGCACCGACCTGAGGGCCGCAAACACGCTCTTGCAAACCATCTCTGAACACATGTTCTTCTTTCATCGTTTAACCCAAAGGTCGCTTTTATAGTATCGCATTTAACTCAGGTCTTTTTTTTGTTTACGAAAAGAGTACTCCACGTTGTAGTTGGTAGAAGAAATGCGTGTGCTTACCATATGGCGAAGTCATGGACTGCGTTTACTTATTCACTACGTGCATGGACAATCAACGTTTCTCTACCAGTGTCTTCTTTAAATCTTAGACCCTGATTTTTCTCATCGTTGCCGTAAGTGTTCCAAGATGCTCGTTCTGAAGAGGAGCCGGTGGAAACAGGCGCTTCCACTGTTCATTCATCATTTTAGCACAACTTCCAATTTGTACGCGCGTCTAAAGTCATAACCCTGATGTTATACAGTACCGTCGTTCTTCGTTTTGTTGATCTACCCCTACCAACACACATTACGAATTCTATGTGCTTTTTAGGATATTCCGAACGTTCTATCATTATTGTATTCTTCTCTTAGTGAATCAACATTAGATTGATACTAGTTCAGCTAAACGATTCGAACGAACGTGCTTTGCAACAACTTCGTATCTACATCATATATATTTCAAGTTATGGAACGTAAATCGCAGGATACGAACGCTTTTCCGATGGGAGTCCTGAGCCGGCAGCGTTGCTATTGCCACTGCCAGCTATGCTATTATCGTTAGGGAAGCCACGTTTACTGTAGACGTATAAACAATATACGAATGGTGTTGAGTTGTTAGGATTACAATTATCTAATGTGGTAAATGCAGACCGAAATTACATTTAAGTAGGTTGTACGGGCGAGATGGAGCTTAGCAGAAGGTTACCATTTAGCAGTACATCATACGTGAAACAGGTGGGGCTAGTTCATGACAGCGTGGTAGCCCTTAGTTTATACAATGCTTATTCGAGAAGAGATTCTCGGCTTTAACAATCATATAATTGAGTGTTAGGAGGAGGAGAGTTAGGAAGCATGTTGACAAGGTAAGGATTATCACATCGATGTATCGTTCCAGTTTGACTAAACGGGTCCGATTTTACTGTGCCGTCATCCACTATGATTCCGTTCTTTCCAAGTGTGCCCTACAGCAGATAGAACTTGTTGCCGTTCAAGGGTTAACTCGAAAGGCTGATGGTGCTCCTAAGGCCATATGAAAGGCAAAGTTAGAATCTTAACGGCGGTTAGATAGTGTACGCTCCACGTGCTCCAATGAAAATAAACAAGCTGAACACGAATGAACGTACAACAGTTAAACCAAAAATTATGCTACGTCCTTAGAAGCGTGGCAACAAATTGCGGGGGTTCTGACAGCCGATTCGTATGCAGCTAGGACATGAGCTACAAACTTCTTTTTAATCATTGGATATGTTCCCTGTGATCGCGCCTATTTTTTTTGTCGTCACGTGCCCTGGCATGCATGGTCTCTTGATCATTCGATTAAAATGGGGCCGTTTTGTAGAAAACCGTTTCATAAAGATGTTCAACAAAGGGTAAAAAGAGAGTTTGAAGTGGATGTGCGTTCCGAGTAAAGTAAAGGACAGCATTTAGTTACGATCCTTCCCACGAAATCGCCGCGTGTCAGGTCGCCCTATCTAGTCACTTAGGCTATTTGTGTATAGGGACCTGTACTCGAGATTGAACGGTCCAAATTTTCAGAAAGCTGTTGCGTGTGCCGAGAACAAAGCAGCCCTGAACGAGTTTCTTTATCTTGCAGGTAGTGTCCGCAAAATTGGATCGCTCGTAAACATTTAAAAAGAGCGGGGTGCGGCTCAGCTAAACAATAGTGACGTTACGTCCGTGCCTTAAGATTTTCCAGGTGCCATTGAAACGCGGATTACCATGACGACGCTATAATCGAGTCATAGACGCGAATGAGATCTCTGTATGTGTGAAAGATAGAATACTTTTTCAATCAGCGTCGATGGGTCTTCCTCCTGGTAGAGCAAACGTGGCAGGTCACGGCGTTGAGATGCACCATATTTCGTTCTATTTGCCATGAAACACGAGAAATTGAGCAATGCTAGCAAGCGACATCCGTGAAGTTTCATCGTGCAAGGTTGCCATGGACTGCCAGTTACCTATTGTTTGTGCTATTAGTCTCTAGAGCGTGTCATTTGGAAGGACATGGAATTTGGCATGCGTGTCTTATTGAGCTGATTGAACCACTTCCTCCAGTGTGCGTGTTGAGGGATACTGCAAAACTTTGAGCTGGCGCCATTGTCTCTATAAATTTTTATGGGTAAACTGATATGCTCAAAATTTGTATCCCTTCGCTTTATTTTTATGGAATACGCTACTAGAGCTTGTGTCTTTCTCGGCTTTTGGGTAGTTATTGTTGTCGTTCTTTTGTAACCTGCGTTTCCAAACTCTCTGACGAGCGTTGTTACGATTCCATAAAGTAACGTTGGGATAGACCACAGACTTCTGACTAACAATAAAAACTGAATTTAACTGAAATCTGAGACTCTGAAAGCCATTCGTCGCTTCTTCTTTTTGAAAACTTTTGTTTCCAAGATGGCATTCCGTATTCGTTCCCGGATAGAGCCTTCCGTCAGCTTTGCTTTTGGAAGAACAGTCTTCTGCTGAATTTTTAAATCGAGGTCGAATTTGTATATCTATTGACGCTAGAATAAAAGAAAATGCCAAGCAAATCATTGCCGCGATCGCTGACCTTGTATCATTTACTTGCATGCAACACCCAGATGCATGAATGTCTAGAACAAATAGACGAGTCTAGAGACGAGTCTATATTTGTGAAGTTGCAACGCTACCTCCTCCACCCGTGATAACTTAGTCGGTAACGTATTTGCCTATCTTTTTAGAGACACGTTGTACACTAGAGCCCAATCCAAGCATAATCCCACTTTTTTTCGGGCTGGGAGCTAGCCGTTTGATGCAGTGCTTAACGGCGATGCCGGACGTAAAACTTGAAACATAGAGGCAAAAATGTATATATTGAGTGACCTTAGAAGCGGCCGGGGGTACAAGCTCAGTCCACTTTTCTATATGGCTATCAGCAATTACTCAAAGAAAATTAAGAAGGATCAACATTTAAGTTGATGTTTTCTGAAAAAGTTCAACTCCACCTTGTTTAGCGGACTTAATAACATTTGCCAACAGGGCCATAAAGCATTTTCACACCTTCACCTATTCAGAAGTTTTATTCACTGCGACAAGGGGACTCTTTGGAGAGCATGCTGGACGAAATTGTAAGCGGTGACTGCTACTATAATCAATAAATCCATCGTGCTCTCCTTACACCAGAAATTTTACCAGAATTTTACCAGAAAACTGCCTCTGATGTAACCTATTGAGTGCTACGAACTGGAATGTAATTACGGTAAAGCGGCTTCGTGATGCCGATCAAGTATGCCTATCTAAAGCGTGTCATTGCAGAAACAGAGTCGCCTACCGACTACGTGAAAAGTGAAACACTAATTCAGGCAGGAAAACCTTTTCAGTAGAGACAGATAAAGTTAGCGAGACCAATCAGGCGGGTGATCAGGAATATTGCTTGAACTGTTATGTTATAACTCGATATGCAGCTCAAGGGCCAAGTATAAAGTGCACTATTGGCTTCTCTTAAGCATGTGGCATGTGCGTAACGGCTGTTTTTTTCTTCACAGCGATGAAGGCTTTATTATACATCAGATCAGTCATATATCAAATCAACTTAATTGGTCGATACACTGAGAAATTTTGCTTTATTTGAAGATATACTAATCCGATTTTAGCGATTACCACTGCACGCGTGATCTTCCTGATTGACATTGTATGGGGCTGAGCGCTCGATGTATGCATTCGAATCAATCTGCCAATAAATTTAGCCAGTACCGTCGACAAGTCACACTTTCTTCTCTGCCACGTATGACCTTACCAAAGGACAAAATAACGACCTATTTGTATTGACGTAAACCAGGTGGGCATTTACGCTTTTTCTCTTTAGTATCTGCGACTTGGACTAGCTTGTACGTCTGTTATTATTTCTGCACCATGGTACGGCCACTATTAATGGAGACCACATCGAATCAACTGCGTTCCTTCCCTTTGTGCTAGCTATTTACATAAGTTACAGTGCAATGGAAGCAAAGATAGAAGAGGACACTTATGTACCGATGTGCTTTTATCAAGCTTTCGGCGGACTCTTGCTAGACGTTGTTAATTGGACGCATTATAAAACCTGTACCTCAATTAGCCCGGCGATAGAACCTCAACAAACAGACAACGACTACAGTAGAGGCACTGGCATCAGAAACACAAGCATTACGAGCAGCATAAATTCACTATTTAGACCAAAACCAAAATAGGAAAAAGTGAAGCATACTGCCATTATATACTTATTGTACAAAGGCGTGCACACCTGTTCGACATAGGCCTTGAATTGGATGAACCCTTATCATCCTATTCACATTATATTTCTCTCCCTTCATATGCTATGGTTTCATTTGAGCTTTACCCTCGTCTATTGACGGTCAATGAATGATTCTACCAATAAAAGAAAATATTAGGAATTGTTCGCTACAGAAGGTGTATTTTATTATTATTATTATAAGCGGTAAGCTTAATAGTTCTTATTTCATATCGTATTTTCTAGACTCGTAATTTATATGTTCAGTCATTACCTACTGTGCGGCAAACGATTGATTCCCTCATCCAAATACATAATAATATCTATTTCGCATGCCTGTCAGAAAAAAGTGTGGACTGATATCTAGCTATATAAATGCTAACATACGGAATATATTTATATACAGCGTTGAAGCAAATTCTCGCGGGCTTCCTGTCATAACGGACATGCGTTCAGCCGCCATGATTAGTAACAGAAGCAGTAACAAAACACAGTAACAAACTGGTCATAAACAAATTCGAAGCGTCGTTTTTACGATTCGAGCAAATATAGGCTCATACTCCGTCTTTTTGCTCTACTCAAACGCAACCAAAACGGTCTACGTTATTGCCAATTTCCGCGTGGCTTTCCAGAAATCCGAAAAACTCCCGGAGACTTCCATGAAGCAAACTAAAAGGTCCCTATTAGGTTTTATATATTTATGGGTTCCAAAGTTCATCGAAATGACTCAGATAGCCATTTTTCACACACTTGGAAAAGCCGATTCAGACATTAACGCCATTTTGAAGAGGAAAATAACAATCTTCAAAAGCGGATCGTCCAGATAAGCAGATAAAGAAAGCTGGCTATAAAAAGAATAAGAGTTTGATATTTGGGTTGCACATGAATGGAGACAGAAGAACATCAGAAGAACGATCATACATCGATTTCTGAAAAACAACGTAACGGAGTCAATTGCAAAGATGTATGATAAAATATAGATCACATACAGTACTAACATGCACGAAAATCTGTGTTTGGAGCTGGACAGATATCGATTCGGACTTCTGCTGTTAATACCTAATGAGACTGCGCCAAGTTCTCGAAAAAAGTCCGCTAGAATTAGTGAGTGTTTTCCGCTACCCGCCAAAAATCAAATGTTTAATGAATTCGTTGTATAGCGGCGATTTTCCATTATCAGACTATCGCCTCCTTCGGTTTCTAGCGAGCATTTTTATTGGTGCTAATTTAGTGTAGCTAATTTAATGGAGGGATGCAATGATTACTTATTGCAGTCTTCCACTATGGTGAAAAGATCAAGGTTCTATCGCAATAGCGCATATGTAGATTAGCAATACTATTTCTAAATAGATGAAGCATTTAGCTCAATTTTTGAGCAAACAGAATCAACAATTTTTCGATGGCCAGCAGATGTATATGGTACACTTGATTACTACGTGTTAATAACTCAATACCTGCTTGGTGGCTAGGAGCTTTTCATTTCAGTTCATAGTGCTCGTATAGGATAGTTGTTTAAATAGGAAAATTCTTCCAACGTACATTTTCACCCTAAACTGAATAAATGTTAACTGAATATATACGCAATCAATCAATTGATATTTACTGTTATATAGTCGTCTTCAAAGCTATTTATAATTATTAATTGTTAATCCAGTCAAAAGGCAACAGGGGTGCCAATATCTATAAGGACAATTACCATTTAGCTCGTAGTAGTCGTTTATTGCTCTATCTAGTTACTATGTAACAGGTTATTTTGGACACGTCCTGCCACACGAGTATGCCGTTTTCGAAGTACTTCAATACAGAACGATACGTCTGCAGGCAAATAAACCAATTAGTCATATACCTCAAGACCCTATTCGGCATTGCAGATTTTGTTCTGTTTAGGGATCAAAGATGCGCAGCAGATAGTTTTTCCCATGCGAACTTTATCTCGAGAAGCCTTAGTGCTGTTTTCAATGAAAAACTTATGGGCTATTTATGTGCTCGGTCTATTTTTTTTTTCCCCCACTATGTGTCCCAAACAATTTCACGCTTCGGGTCTGTACGATAGCCAAATACATACATTTGTCTATGTACTTCAAAGCTAAATACGTGCGAGTGTGCTAACCAACCGTCACGCCTTCAATCTTCGGCATGTTGATTTTCATGCGTGACGTAAAAGACTAAGGTCGATAGCGCTTGCTGTGAGCGATTTCGGCAGTAATAGTGACCTTCACTGGCGGATTCGTGCTCGTGATCTGCTGTGAGAAATCGGTAATTAGTACGGCGAATGTCAATGGACTAAAACTGTCCACCCGGGCAAAATTTGCACATGTACTGTGTACAAATTGTGCTTTTTTTTCAAGCACTCTTTAAGGATCTTTTAAAAATGTTGAGCAGGTCGTTAGGGTGGAGGGACTGCTTTTGTCAAAATCCATGTTACTCATCGGGCAATGCGTTCTAGTAATCGACACAAAGCACGAGCCGATTTACGAACAGAAGTTTATAAATGCTAGTTTTTTTAGGCTATTCATCGTCAGAACGGTGACTCTGTGGATGATCCCTCACTATTCATGATCAGTGAAAGTACACATTATTTCCATGCCTTTGTATGTTCTCGATACTCAGGTAAGAGTTAAATAAGTTTGTCCAATACGGAGCCAACGTAATTTTCTACCTGAGATGTGTCCTGTGTAGGTTGCCTAGGTGTTAAGACTTGATGTTTGCGAATCGCCAGATGGCTTCAGCTATTTCCTGCGCCCCAAAATCTCAGTTCGATTGAGTTTTTCAAGCACGATCTTCTTCAAAGCAGATGCTTAGGTATCGAAGAATATTGCAGAGCATAGTGCCACAGAGTAAATAAACACTAGGTAGGTAAATTAATTCAATTACTAAGTAAATTAGTTATTTTCGTGCTTCGTTTCGAGCTCGGTATAAAAATACCGATTTTTACCGAAGCCCAATTTTAAACTATAAACAAACGGGGTTTTATCGTATTGCATCATATTTACTAAGCTTGTACACGGAAATTTACCATATACAAAGTTAATATATTGAAATGATCAGGAAATACCACTAAACGGTTACTGTTGCGCAGCGAGTAATTAATGTCTTCTAATTTTTCCAATGAACTTCTACCGAACTTGAGCGCAAAAGTAATTTTGCAAAAGTGAGTCAACCTTTTGCTTCATTTCGAGGCATTCAATCCAATCGTTGACGACAAATAGCCTCGAAGGGCACCTAGCATTAATATCGAAAAATAACACCATGTAAGAAGAATGTGTACGTAATTTCTGCAATGTTTTTAAGATGTACAGTAACATATAAAAAATATGTGGCTGTAAAGCTTGAGCGGAACAGTCACTTTAAAACCAGTTGAAAAAATTGTATTAAAATGATCAAAAATCTTATGGAAACAAACAAGTATTCGAGCGAATACGCTCTTACAGAAAGTGTATAATAATGCGTGCAAACAATTCATTTTTGCAAAGAGATGCTTTTACGTTTAATGATATCCCTGTTATCTGAACGAAATGATAAATCGCCTGCGTCATATCATAATGCCACTCCATTTAATACGTATACAACCTAGTCCACCTTCTTCCTAAAAATAAACTCGGAATTTAAGGCCCGGAGCTCAATTGAGTCGTTACAACGGCTCCTCCAACTGCTGGTGGCTAGAATGAAGTCGGATGCCCTGAAGGCAACTCCATTTTGCGGCGTGGAATGGGCACTGCTAGCCTATTCTCTACTTTTCAACTATCCTCCCGCCACGCAATTAACGAAAGTTCTCCTTTACGCTATGCCCTAGAGCAATGTAGGCCATCGTTTATAATGTCGTCTGCAGCTGGCTTATTGAGACGGGGTCACCATTTGCTTAACACCGCGTTCATTTTTTTGGCTGCGGATTATGGCTTCCTTTCGCTCAGTTATCATTAGACGCAACAGAAATATTTAGATTTCGTGCGATAGCAATGTTTCAGGACAACTCAGGCAACGGACTCAAATGCATCGCGTAGAATATCGGCATCACCAGATACGCATAGCCATTTTAAAAAAATTGACAGAAATTACCGGTATTATATTGTACAGCATGTTGTTTTTGCGGTTAAAAAAAATCAGGCAACACGTCCTTGCTCGTTCAACAGTTTGGGAACTTCACTACTAGAATATTGAACTTGTCCACCGCCCTCCAAGAAAAAAGTACTGGAAAACTTTTAGGGATATGTTCTGCTGTTCATTCGCTACCCACGAAAGCGTCGAATCTTATACTTGACGAAACAGTCCTATATGGCAAATTCTGACAATACCTTATTTACAATTAGTATATGATGAAATTGCGGACACAATTATATATGAAATTGGGTTAGATTTACGGGTACCTTCAAATTTTCATGGTCAGATTCAAACTCAGAGGACTGATGATGTTAGCCTAAACACGGCTCTAACTCTAGGCCACGGTCGGATTATTTTGTTTGACCTATTTTGCAACAGGCATTGCAGATTGTGTTAAGGATTAAACACTTTTCAGATTTACTGGTAGTTAGTCTTAGTAACTGCCGCTAAAATTCTTGCAGCTGGGACACGTAAGCGACGTGCGAATCAATCTTATTAAAATTTTCCGTACTTATTACGAACTTGCCACAGTAAGCTTCACAATTATAAGTGAGACTATCACCAGCCTGCGACTCTATTTTACCAAATATCGAACGGCAATTCTTTTCGGCATTGGCTTGTTATAGGTTATTTAAATGTATTTGGTAAAATTTAAATGTATTTTGTAAAAATTTTCAGGTATTTTTAGAGTCGCCATAACTCATAGCTTCTGCGCGAGCCTCGGTTTTTTCACGCCAGTAGCAGACGATTATTTGTGCTACGACTCTGGCCGATGCGCACGCGTTTAGCAGTGTATCGATACCCGATATTTAATTGTTATTATTTGGGCAATCGTAGCTATTTTTCAGCGTCGTGTATTTAAAAGCTAATGAACATTTGCTTGTATCTGTAGAATGCTGGGGTATAGAATATAAATGTATACTGCTATTGCTTTTCAATAAATAGTATGTAGATGGTATCATTTTCGTATGAAATGGTTTTATCAATTTTTCATATCC